ACAGCGCCAACCCCCCCCCCCCCGCCCAAGCCCATTTAACCAAGCACCCCCTACCTCTTGGGCAGGGCTGCCCCACCTGCGTGGGGCTGCCGGTCCCACTCTCCCCACGCGGGGCTGTCGCTGGGCGAGAAGAAGTCTCCCATCACCTCCGTGGCCGTCACCCGTCCCAAGGCAGGGCTCAGCACCCCCGCGAGGGAGCGGTCCTGGCCCGCCACCTCTCTCATCAGCTCCTCCGAGTTCAGCCGGAAGGGGGGCGAGGGGCCAGCTGGGGCCAAGGGACCCCTCTCCTTCGCTGCTCCGTGGAAGGCCTTCTCTGGCTCTTGGGAAGCTGCTGGGAAAGAGAGGAGGGCAAATCAGCAGGGCTGCCGGGAAGACAGAGACCCTGGCCGGCACTCACAAAGAGGGAAAGACACCCACCCAGGTTCCTGGCATCTTCCTCCCGTGTCCTACCAGTTGCTGATCCGTGGGGTTCCTTCGGCCACTGGGGGTCAGGAATGGCTTCCTCCTCCAAGGAGCTTGCGGGCCTGGAAGCACAAAGCCCGCCAGTCAGAAGGGGAGCCTCTCTCTCTCTCTGCCAGGAGCTGTGCGGATCCTACCTGCTCCCCTGCCTTCCACTCCTTTGGGCTCGCGTGGGTGCTCCCTTTCCTTCAGCCTGCCCTCCTACACGCAGACGGCAGTATAGGGCATCATTTATAGCGGCTGCTCTGCGCCCCTCTCCCCATCCGAGGGGATTTTATGTTTAACGACTGGGCACAAGTTTCCAAAATAAGTCAATACAATAGCCGCCCCCCCCCGATCTTCCCACCCAGAGAGAGCTCAGCCTTTTCCCTAAAGACTCCTCCCCTTCCCCAAGTTATTGATCCTCAGGAATTGGCTCAGGAATCAATGTGCCCCCCCCTCCCCAAAAGGCTCTGGCTGGGTTAGGGTTCAGAGCCTGCCTGTGTTCACAGAATCACGGAACTGCCGACACGGAAAGGACCCCGAGGGCCACCGAGTCCACCACCACCCCCGGCAATGGTGAAATGAGGAAAGGCCCATTTCCCAGCCTTGCCCCCTCCCCTTCTGCCCAGATGGTCCCTCCCTCCTGGTGCCATCTTTCCCTTCAACCCCTGCCACCCAGAAGCAACGGGACAGTTATCCCCCGACCCCCACACCACCCCCCCTCCCTGGGACCTCCACCACAGGATCGAAGCAGCAGCCGGGAGACTGACCTGGAGGAGCCGCTCCGATCGCTGGGGGCAGTCGCGACCGGTGGCCACTCCGGACTCCGGCGGCAGGGAGCGTTGTGGCAGTAGTGGTGGACGCTGCCTTGCTCCCCAGGGGAGGGGGCTTCCGAAGGGCCGGCGTGGGGGGACGGCGGTTGCTGGGCCGCCTCCTTCCCCCGCTGCTCCACAGGCAGGCTCTGGGACCGCTGTCTCGCCGCGTCGTCGCTCTTCTGTCCAGGGGCGGGGGGGTCCTCCGGAGGGGTGGAGGGGCTGGCCTTGGAGGGAAGCAGCTGGTGGTGGGAGGCACGCCGTGGGTGGTACTTCTCCCAGTTTGGGGGCGGGGGCCGCGGAGGGGGCGGCCCCTTCCTTTTGGCCCTCCCGGGCGATTCCAGTCCGGCCTCTTCTAACCTGGCGAGAGGGGCTTCCCGCTGGGGCTCCTTTCCCGAGGCAGCGCTGGCGGGTTCTGCACAGAGGTGGCTTTCCGAGTATGCCCTTTCCCGCAGGGGGGGCTTCCCGGCTTCTTCGTAGGCTGGATTCTCAGCGGCCTGCCCGGGCCTTTCGTGGTCCCAAGAGAGGTTGCGAGTGGACGTGGTGCGACAGAAAGGAGCCCACTCCAGCTCGGTGTTCTCGAAGCGGGTCCAGAAGGGGCTCACCCTGGCAAAGCCCATCTTCTGTGGGGCCAACTCACTGCGGGGAGGGAGGGGGGAAGCAGGAGGAAATGCCTGGATCAAGGAGGCTCAGTTTACCCACCCAGAGGTGGGGGGGGTGTCCTTGCTCTTCAGGAGGGGGCAAGACTGAGTCAGCCCCTGCAGGCAAACGCCCAGCCTCCTCCCTGTCAGGAGCAAATGCGTCCTCTGGAAAGAAGCAGCCCACACTTGCTCCAAGTTCCAGCCTCTCTCTTTCCAAAAGAGAGAAAGAAAATTAAAAAAAAAAAACCCATTGGGCATTGGGTCAAGACTTACACCTCTCTCTCTCTGCTCAGAACAAAAGAAGCCAAAGCACCAAGGGACCATTTCCCCACCCCCAGTGCCCGCGCCAGAAAGATGCTTGCTTGGCAGGGGAATAAACCAGGAACCCTGCACGTCCCAGAGAGGGTGGCAGTGACTCTGACCCCAAATGGGAGTCTCTGTGGGACCTTAAAAGGCCAAGCTGGGAGGCAGAGTGAAAGGCTTACTGGGGGGGGGCAGGAATGCTTCAGCCCAGAGTGACATCACCTCTGCCTCTCCTGTTTAGGCAAAAGATTGCAGGAAAGCCTCCCAAGACGTCCGGTGGAACGAGGTGTTGGGAGGTTGCCCGAACGAGGGCCAACGGGTCTGAAAAGCCCACAGAGAGACATGTCCACCTAACAAGAAGCCCATGGAGGGCATGGCATCTCTCTCCCCATGAGCAACAATAGAGGGGGATGAGGTGGCTCGCCCCCCCCGCCCTCCGGCCTACAAGAACTGCCCCCCCATGCTCTGCCGCATCACCCAAGAGACATCACAGATATCAAGAGAGGTCCTGGATTTTGCCTGTGGGGCCCACAAGTAGGGGGCAGTGGGTGGCATGGGGCCAGCGTTGCCAGGATGCCCTGCCTTCGGGCACCCGGGAGGGACCAAGGTTCAATGTTTCCTGCCTTCTCCCCCTCCCACATGCCCCCCCCCCCACAGTGCAAGGCTGCTTACCTCATGGACTGGCTGCTCTTCCTGTTTACAGCTGGAGGCTCCCATTCATCGGAAGGAAATTCCTGGACAAATGAGTCAGAGGACGAGGAGGAGGTGAGGCTGGGATGGAGGGGCTGCGGGTCTTCTGGGAGAAAACCCACAACCCCCTGCCCCACGTGGCCCTCCCTTCGGCCTCACCAGCCTGGGCAGTGGTAGAGAAGACAGAGCGCTCCAGAGACTGACCTTCCTCCTCCTCCTCCTCCCCCCTCCTCCTGCTGACAGGATTGGGGTGCTGAGGGCATGGGGCTGAGCCTCTCCTACTGGGGAATTTCACAGCCACTGGGAGGCAGGACCTCCAAGCCAAGAGAGCTGGGCAGGGGAATGCAGGAGCAGCAGCTGAGCTCATCTGGGGGACCTCAGGTGCCAGGGCGGTGAAGCTGGGCCAGTCCCCCTTGAGCCCAGCGTCCTTCCCCCCCCCACACACACACACAAGCTCTGTGCACAGCTAAGGGACCCTTACCTTCCTCGCTTGCCAGGGTCCAGCCTCGTCCAAGCGCTTGTGAGTTCCCAGGCAACAACAGTCGCTGTAGCGGGTCCAGGCCGGGCGAGGGTGGCAGTGGTGGGCGCAGTGGCTGGCGGGCACCGGCAAGCTCCTCTGGTGCAAGGCAGGGCACCTCTCCCCATAGCAGTAGGTACAGGCTTCACGAGGGGCGCAGGAACAGGGCAGGGGCTGCCAGCAGTCACAATCCCCCCGATGTCGAGCCGAAGGCTGGCAGCACGCGAGGGCTTCCCTGTGGAAGTCTGGGTAGACGGGGGGCGAGGGCAACCCGTAGGTCTGGTCCATGGAGTGGCGCCGCACGGCCAGGTGCTCAGAGCCCACAGGCTGGAAAGTGTTCTGCTCCTCCGCCTTGGGGGCCTGCAACCCCCCAAGCCTGCTGTGCCGGAGGTGCGTGTATCCGGAGAGCAGCGGCTTGCTCGTCTCCTCAAAGAATTTTCTCCTGTCTGCAAAAGGCAGGAGTCCCGACTCGTCCGGAAAATGGGACAGGGGTTCCGGCTGAGTCGCCGGCGAGCCCTCATGGTGCGGCTGCAGCTTGTGCTCCGGAGACCATCGCCAGCGTCCGCTCCGCCCAGGAGCTGGGGGCAGAGGCTTTGGGGGCCGCTCCGGCACCGGCTCCTGGGCCCTCCAACGGGGCTCCGGGGCCAGAAGGGCCCGACCAGGGTTGTGGGTGTTGCCC